AATGCGGTAGCATCCTGAACCATGGTAGGGCCCCTAGGTACTATAGTAATACAAATCAACAAATAAATACATTTGCAAGCGGCTACTCTCTATTCTGACTTGACTCAGAGCTGGGTGATGTGTAGGTACACTGTACTCACTCATTGTGGCAGCAGGCAGCCTTGTTACAGAAAGTCGGGCCTCCTATCATGTACCAAGATGGACAGGCCGGTAACCAGTACACCAGAGCTCACACTGCATTAGAGAGGGCTCCAAAGTGCTCACTCGTAGCTCCAGCAGCCAGACTCACTCTGAAAGGACACAGGAAGTCTCCAGACAATATTATATAATGCAACTGCAAGGCACAGGTCATCACAAATGCTGAAGAAATTAAGCAAACTCAGGGTTCACAACTTATTGCAGGCAGCCACTCCATGTAATGAACAATGGCATCCTTCTCATCGGATTAAGTATAACAACCTTGTTGGCAGATTCATGTGGAAAAGTAATAACTGGGTGCACTGGCAAAGGATGCCAGATTTGCTCACTGCCCCACTACAAAACTATACCCTTTGCCAATAACCTGGTCAGGAGAGCAAGCCTGTGACACGCTCAACCTGCAGCAGTGACTCCTGTCCTGTGGGGATGGGCAGGGCTCCCCTCTCTAAGCATTGGGACCAGGCACACAGGGTCACAGCACCACTCAGGTTTGGCCCAGAAGGCCCTCCAGCATCACTGAGCCACACGTGAATGGCACTGCAGCCCCATGCACCAGGTCGCAGCACCTCGAGAGGACAGCCTGGCCCAGACCCACAGCACAGGAGCTCTTACTGTGCAGTGAGTGTGAGGCATACTTGTTCTCCAGCCCTACTCCACTCACCCCAAGGCCTCCTCTCCATCCGGGGATTAAGGGCAGAGCCCCCTCGGCAGTTTAGTAGAGTGCATCTATTGACTCAGGAGGCTTCGTCCATCCCAGTGAGATGTCTGTGCACCATACCGCTCCCATGGGAGCCCTGATGCAGCAAGATAGCATAGGAGGACTCCGCACCTCAGCTCAGGGATGCCTCTTTGCAGAGCAGTGTGGAGGATGGGACGAGGGTAGGGGCAATGCCTTGGTCCTGTCTGCCTTAAGTGCACCGCTGGGGGTAGCACAGTGTTGGCTAATACAACTCCTCAGAGCCACCGCCTAGCCCGCTGTAACTTTCTAATGGCAGCAAGACGCTGATGACCCTAGGGCTCCGGCCCCTTGCTGAGGAGCCCTCTCATTGCTACTCTTTTCAGGCACTATGCAGCCACCTGCGACAAAGGCCAGGCACACAGCTGCCTCCTCAGAGTATGTCTACACTGCAACATAAGCCCATGCTTGATTCCAGGCTCAAGCCTAACCCCCCTTCTGTCTACACTGCAATTACACTCACCCAGAACTCGAACCCAAGGTCCCAGAACCCTGCAGGGCTGAGGCTCCGAGCTCAAGGTAAGCCATGATGCACGGTCCAAGCCTTATTGCTTTGCACTGTAGATGCAGCCCCACCTGACTCAGGCCCCAGCAGTCAGTCAGAAGTATCCCAAAATTCCATGGGACAAGTTTCTTAGTCCTCTTTATCCCAACAATATTCAATCCACTCTATTTAAAACAGATGCCACCCTTTGCAAACAGCAGCAGCTCAGGTCAGCATTAACCCAGTCGCTTCTGATCACTGATATGCAAGCTCACTGTCAGAGAGTCTCCTTGGTCTGCTGCCCGAACGAACCGAACAAGCCTTTTGCAAAGCAAGCTACTTCCTGGTAATGTGCAGGGCAAGCAGTGAGCTGTTTCTACAGTTCACTGCACACCTAGGGCTAGAGCAGCCATATTCGGGGGAGGAGGCACTAGAGACACTGGGATATGGTTACTTTGACTCACATCTGGGCATTGCAGTATGGACACCAGAGCCTTAGGTTTGAGCACAAGTTGGAAAAGTGTTAAGGTAGGTTAAAATACAATGTAGATGCTTAAGCCCAGGTAGGGTGACCAGATAGCAAGTGTATAGACTTTTTTTTCAGGGCAGGGGAAGGGAATAATAATTGCCTATATAAGACAAAGCCTCTAATACTGGGATCTTTGGTCACCCTGAGACCAGGGCTCCCTACCACAGGTCAGCGCTGACTCAAGTCCCACTAACCCTCCGCTTAAACTGCGGTGCAGACTCACCCAAAGTGGCCACTGACTCGCCCGCCTGGCTTTAGAACCACCCCCACCCCAACTGCGGGAGATAGTTGGGGGAAGGGGAGCACAGGGGAAACTGCCCCCCCTTCCAGCCCCCACCCGCCCCTGCTCTCTGCCGCGGGCCCCTGGGTGCCCCCCGGCCGCTGCGGGCTGCAATCCCTGGCCAGGCGGCCCCGCTGGGTCACGGCTGCTGGCGGGCAGCGGGCCCGGGCGGGGCGGCCGCTTGAGGGCGGCGTGGCGGGGGCCGGGGAGCTATTTACCCCGCTGGCGCGCGCGGCGTCCAGCACTATGCGGAGCCCGCGCGCCGCAGGGAGCTGTCCGCGCGGTGAGTGGGGAGCGGAGCTACGCGGTCTGCGGGGCGGGGCGGGGCGGGGCCGGGTCCCCTCGAGCCGTCCGGAGCCAGGCGGCGGCGGCGGCGGCGGCTCTCCCAGTGGCGCTGCGCCGCCGCTTCGGGGCAGGCGTGTCCCCCCGCTCGCAGCCGCGCCGGCTCGCTGCGCCTCCCGGGATGGCGGGAGCCCGGGGCGCGGCGCGCGGGGCAGGGCACGGGGGGGGAGCCGCCCGCCGGGGCTCCTGCCGCTGCTGAGCGCGCCCGCGGAGGGGAGACTAAACGCGGGCGGGGGGAAATCAGCCCCTCCCGTCTGTCAGGGGGGTGGGCGGAGGAGCGGGCTCTGGGGACTTGTCCGCAGCGGATCTTAAAGGAGGGGGCAGGAAAACTTGATCTTTCCAGTGCTTTACAGTTGTGCATGCTGTTGGTGCCCAATGGGCGCGTGCCCGCAAACGTGTGCTTTGTGGGATCTCCTGGGCTGGGAGGAAAATCGGCTGCAGGCTCTGGGAAGTACAATAGCTACCTCAGCTGCGATTCTGTCAGAAGACAGTTAAAAGTGTGCAGGGGACTAATAAACACAGTGTACCTTTCAGTGGTACCTTAGAATGGTGTGCAGCGCTGCCTTGTACAAGGGAGATCTTCCGTCCCCCTCTCCCACCCCATAAAGTACAGGTCTTAGAAAGGCAAAATCTGAAAAGTGCTTTTAGCCTTAGGTATAATAGCGGGCAGTCCCCTTAGATCTAGCTTTGGACTACTATTTTTGATATGTTTCAGAGTAACAGCCCTGTTAGTCTGTATTCGCAAAAAGAAAAGGAGTACTTGTGGCACCTTAGAGACTAACCAATTTATTTGAGCATGAGCTTTTGTGAGCTACAGCTCACTTCTGTAGCTCACGAAAGCTCATGCTCAAATAAATTGGTTAGTCTCTAAGGTGCCACAAGTACTCCTTTATTTTTGATATAGATCCTCTGCCTGTCATTACAACATTGGTAACAAAATCCGCATAAACCTTGGAGGGTTGAAAATTATTCACAAAAACTGTTGTACGTATTTAACGGCCACTGCAACAGATAGAAGAAAGAGGAGACTCAATACTGTACTTTTCTTATATATGTTGTCACTGTTTAGGTCTTGATGGTTTTAAAAAAGTATTGTTAGTACTCCTTTTTATAATGTCACAATATCTCATAGCTTGCTATACTGAGCTTTTTAACTGGATTTAAAAGGACAGAGACAAGTGATTTTTTCTTAGTTCATAATTCCCATTAAAATAATGCACAGGTTTTTACAGTAAGGGTAATTAACTATTGGAATAATTTACCTAGGGACTGGGTGGATTCTTGATCACTGAGTCTTTAAATCTTGATGGGATATTTTTTTAAAAACATATGCTATCATTCAAACAGAAATTATCTGCTGGGTGCAGTAATTGCTGGGTAAGATAGGGCTTGTCTTATGCAGGTCAAATTAGAAGATCATGATATTATGATGATCCTTTCTGGCCTTGTCATCTATGGGGGGAAAAAAACTTATTTGCTGCTTTGTTCCACTTGACAAACATCATTTTTCATCACATCTTGAGTGATGCTGGAGAGGATGAGATTTCACCCATTTGTTCAAAGTAACTACAAAAATCCAAGATAGTTTTATCACAAACTAACTACATAGAACTGGCTTTTTACATACAGCAACTTCAGAAGTGAAATGTACCAAATTTATAACAGGTCCCTAGAATTAAGAGCCTACAATTTAAAGACACAATAGATATGTACAGTAGAGAACAATGTAAAGGAAACAAAATGATGTGCTGTCATAATAAAATTGTAAGATTGTAATTCTATGCTGCTTAGGAGCATTGGTGCACTTTACCATAATATAAAACACTGGGTGTGATTTTTAAATCTAGGGCTCCTGGGTACCATGAAAATACAAATAGTAATATCAATGGAAAATTTGCAGTGTTTGAACAAATCATTATCTCCTGTGCTTTGAAACTGTGATTCACATTTTCTCTTGGGAGAAGGAAACTTTTTTAGCAGTCTATCTTCTGAGGTTAATGCAGTCTGAGTGTTTTGGTGGTTTTCACTCCATTTAAACAAACTACTCCTTTTAAACAAACTACTACGAAAACAATCTATTTTTTGGCAGAAATGTGAACAATTACACAAAATGTGTGTATACAAAAGCCCACATATGTATATAAAATGATATTACAGCCAATGGAAAATGGAGTGTTAAAACGAAGTGAATAGGAGACTTGTGGGATCTTGCTCCTCTGGCCTAAGCAGTCTTTAACAGCTGGCACTATTCCATGACTCCCTAGGAAAATACAATAAATATATCTAGCGATAAAATGCATTTTTGCAGAAAAGAATTGTGACCTATTAACTAACTAGATCCTTAGGGTACAAGCTAATTCTTTTTTTTTTAACCCTAATATCTCTGAAGTTTCAATGCAGCATTTTTGTTTTATCTTTTTAATCAGAAAAATTATCCTTCGTATCTGAAAAATCATGTGCAAGTTAAACAGCATCTTGGAGACCCTTGAATTCCTGATTTTATTAGGATATTACTACTTTGAGGCTTTCGTTCTGTTAATTTGTCCTCCATGTAAAAAGAATGTTGCTGGTGAAATAGTGCTTATTACAGGAGCTGCAAATGGGATTGGAAGGCAGATTGCCTTAAATTTTGCTCGTCTTGGGGCTACCCTGGTTTTCTGGGACATTGATGAAGAAGGTAACAAAGAGACGACTAAACTGGCCAAAGAAAATGGAGCCAAAGGAGTTTATGCCTACAAGTGTGACTGCAGCAATAGGGAAGAAGTCTACAGAGTGGCAGATCAGGTAATATTTTACGTTGTTTTTGTTTCCAGTATAATATTGTATCTGATTAAAAGATATCTCTTTCAAATCATTAGTTTTAGAAGCAGTAATGTTTGATAAAGAGGACTTACCACTTATGTCCATTTATTGCAATTTAACAAAAAAATTGAAGGTATTTTAAATGGAGCTTAATCTATTTTTTGTAATAAAATAATTGGGTTTGATCTAATGTACTGTGGAGACTGAAATACTGTGAGTTTTCCCTCTAAAGGTAATTAGTTGCTTCAGATCAAAACCATGGTAAAGCATATGATAGTAGTTGACTTCACATGTTCATTGCTGAGACTCAAAATTTGCAAATGTTACTGAGAAACAGTAAAACAGAGTAAAGAGATTTTTCTGCTATTTGTCCATGTGATCAGTGAATTATAGTTAAATAAGGATGTCTTGGGATCTAACCATTTCAAAAAAGCAACTAGGAGGGTCTCATCCTAGTTTTCCTGATGTACAGTTTGACTTATTCTTCACTCAGCCTAAGCTGGAAAATAAGACATAATAGAACCTCACTACAAACTTAACTTTTGCTGCTCTGCTGCCCTATCTTAAGTAAACTAAAGCTTTATCTACACTACACAGTTTTGTCGACAAAAGTCAGGTTTCATTGACAAAACAGTGGAGGTGTACACACTGCAATGTTCCTTCTTCCCATGTAACTCTCCTGCTTTGCCAACAAAATAAAACTACCTCGATGAGAGGCGTAGAGCTTTCTGTGGCAAAGTTATATTGAGAGGGCTCCTTGGTTATGTCACTGTAAATGGCCTCCAGGAGGTGTCCCACAATGCCCATCCTGAAACTCTGGTCCAGAGTTTGAACTCCGCTGCCCTGCACCCAGGTATACAGGTTTCTGCCCTGCCCCTTTCAAAGTCCCAGGAATTTTTGAAATTCCACTTCCTGTTTGCTCAGTGTGGAGAGCTCACATTGCATCTGCCCAGCTGACCATGAGAGCTCCATGCAGCCAATGCTTTCACTCTTGGACCACACCTGAGTTGTTGGATCTGCTGGCACTGTGGGAAGAGGAGGCTGTGCAGTGCCAGCTCCACTCTAGCCATAGGAACTTCGGTACTTACAATCAGATTTCTCATGGCTTGTTGGATAAGGGCTATGCAGCAGTGCTGTGCGAAGATAAAGGAGCTGAGGCAGGTGTACCAGAAGGCCAGGGAGGCAACCCATCACTCTGATGCTGCACCAAAGACCTGCCACTTCTCTAAGGAGCTGGATGCTATCCCTGGTGGCGACCACACCTCCACCACCAAGAGCCCCATGGATACTTAGGATGGGCTGGAGGCAGTGGACAGTGGACTCAACCCCAAGGATGAAGTTGTGCATGAGGAGGTTGAGTTGGAGGACAACGTGGAGAACACAACAGGGTCGTCCAGTGGCATGGCAAGTCAGGACCTCTTTTCCATTCCAGAGGGATCTAGCCAGTCCCAGCAGTCCATCTCTGGCGTGCATGATGCAGGAGAGGAGAGCCCTGGTAAGTGATGTTTTTGAGTTGATGCTGCTCAGTTATGTGTGGTAGAGCTGTCCTTTGCTCTGTATAATCTAGAAGTGGGCGAAAGGATAGAAACATACAAGACTAGCTGTGTTTGAGTGTGCTCCACATTCCCCTGTGCAGCTAAGCAGCGCGGCAGAACAATGTGTTAATGCACACTGAGATTTCACGGGAATCTTCCAGAGAGATCTCTTGGAAACTTTCCTGGAGGCACTTGACAATCCTCTGCCGAAGGTTCCTTGGCAGAACTGCTTTGTTCCTTCCCCCATTGTAGGAAATTTTCCTACGCCAATCGGCAATCTCTTGTGCAGGTACCAAAGTGGCACGCAGGCAAGCAGCTTAGGGCCTGGGTCTGAAGTTGCTCTCATGCGGAATTTACAATATTGTCCCTAGTTGCATGCACTGATCCCCTTAAAAAAACACGTAGACCCTTTGCTCCATCTTGAATGCCCAACTCCCACCCAGGCCGAACTCACCATGTGTAAGGTGTTTGCCAAGATGTGTGCTTGCCAAGGGACAGTGGGAAAGTGATTCATATGTTAAGAGGTGTATTTTACTGTAATGATTCAATGCTGTGCATGAACTAACTGTCATGCTTCTGTATATTGTTTCTTGTGCTTCTGCAGATGTGGACTTCAGGGGAACCCACTGTACACTGGCAGAGCACCTCTGCCAGATAAGGAAGCAACCAAGGCGGAGCAAGGAGGACATGTTCCAAGAAGTGCTCCAATCCTCAGAGGCCGAAAAAGGAGAATGCAGGGAGTAGAGAGAGACCCTGAAGGAAAAATTTAAAATAGAAAGGCAGGACAGAAAGGAGAGTGAGGAGCGCAACATAAAGGGCCAGGCGTAGATGATAAAAGTGATAGAGGATCAAACAGAGAAGTCCCTAATCAAGCTCCAGGCCAAACACATGTGTGCTCACCCCACCTGCAGCCAATACAGAACTGCTTCCCATGCTCTCCAAACTCCTCCCACATATTCTTTGCAACTTCCCGGAACGTCTCAGTACACCATTCACTCCACCCCTTCGGACAGCTTCCAAAGTGACAGCGGACTTACACACAGCTATGAGAGCCTACACTGCCCTGAATTGTCATCTCCCTTCCAACCAAGCCTTTTGTGTGTGTTGTTAATTGGTATTTAATAAAAAGAAACTCTCTGAAAGATAACCAATCTTTATTTGTCTTCTACACGTGTGGTTGCTAGTGATCGTAATACATAGTGGCTGTTTGATCATTTGCTGACTACAAATCCCAGTTAGGAATCATCACAATTTCATGCAAGGCTGCAAGTTAACAGAGCATGGCAGAGTGCTGTATAGAAAGACACATTACTGGTGTTCATTATCAAAATGACAGGTTTCAGAGTAACAGCCGTGTTAGTCTGTATTCGCAAAAAGAAAAGGAGTACTTGTGGCACCTTATCAAAATGTTGCCTCCAACACCAGCCTGATTTGAATAGCCCCGATTGTGCCCTTCTAGTAGCCCTGGTATCTGGCTGCTCAATTCAGCAGCAAGGCAATCCACCTCTGCGCTCCACCCCTGGGGGAACTTTTCATCCTTAGCCTCTCAACTATTATGGAGCGTGCAGAAGGTTGCTATGACCATAGAAATGTTTTCCTCATTTAGCCCTAACCTGCCATAAAGGCAGCGGCAGCGCACTTTTAATCTGCCAAAGGCACGTTCCACAGTCATTCTGCACCTGTTCAGCCTATTGTTGAAGTGCTCCTTGCTGCTGTCCAGTTTTCCTGTGTAAGGCTTCATGAGCCATGGAAGTAAGGGGTACGCTGGGTCTCCTGGGATCACTATGTCCTTTCAACATCTCCCACTGGAATCTTCTGGTCTGGAAAGAAAGTCCCTGCTTGGAGCTTTCTGTACAGGCCAGTGTTCTTGAAGATTCGAGCATCATGCTCCTTCTCGGACCACCCCGCGTTAATGTCAGTGAAACGCCAATGGTGATCCACAATTGCCTGCCACACCATAGACAAGTACCCCTTTCTATTGATGTATTCCGTTGCAAGATGGTCCAGGGCTGGAATTGGAATGTGTGTGCCATCTATCGCCCCTCCGGAGTTAGGGAATCCCATTGCCGCAAAGCCATCCACTATTTCACGCACATTGCCAAGAGTTGCAGTCATTCATAGCCAGATGCAATTAATGGCCCCGCACATTTACGTTAACACAGCCCCAATGGTCGACTTCGTGACTCCAAACTGATTTGTGACTGACCAGTAGTAGTCTGGAGTTGCCAGCTTCCACAAAATGATCGTCATGCACTTCTCTAGCAAGAGGGCAGCTCTCGTTTTGGTGTCCTTGCACCGCAGTGCTGGGGCAAGCTCCACATTCAGTTCCTGGAAGGTGGCTTTCCGCATCCAAAAGTTCTGCAGCCACTACTCGTTATCCCAGACATGCACAATGATGCAGTCCCACCACTCAGTGCTTGTTTCCCGAGCCCAGAAGCGACGGTCCACCATGTTCTGCTGCTCCGTGAATGCCAGAAGTAATCTGGTGTTTCTTTCCATGGCACACAGCAAGTCAGGCAACTCTGATTCCTGTTCAGAGTGGGAGCTCCTGATATACTGCATGACCATCCACAGTGTGTTCATAACAGTGATCACAATAGTAGAGAGCAGTGCGGGATTCATCCTTTCAGACCGAGAAATGCCATGAAACACAGTCGGCTCCATTCGTCTCACATCAAGTTGGGTTGATACACAACTACTCTCAACCATGCACATCGTAACTGGGACAATTTGACCAGCCCCAGTACCATGGCTTACTGTGTTAAGTAACATCCTCCTCCTCGCATCCATTGTGAGGATGCTAAATACAGAAAGGCTTGGGTTTGCACTGATCTTCACAACCAATCACTTTACAGACCTCTTCAACCTCCCAAGAGTGTGCATATTGTTGAGACACCTGTTGTGGTCCTACTTGACACTACTTTCTCTGTGATGTCAATGTGGAATGAAGAATGGTCTGCCATTGATGTCAGAAACCAGTCTCTTACAACTGACTTAACCATGTGTGTATCTGGCTTTGATTTGCCATTCTGCTCATGGGGCCTTCTGAACCAATTTTCAATAAGCCAGGGTCAATGTGCAGCCAGCCTTCACACCTGAGGCCAATGAGAGGATCCCACATGTGGCTGTGTCTAAAGACAGACAACGTCACACATCACTGATGACTGGATTTGATGGTGGTCTGACGGTTCTGCACTTCACTGATGAGGGCTGCTGCAAATTGGTTTGGCAAGCTCCACGTACAATAAGAAGATGCTTGGAATAAAATGAAATAATCAATTAATCAGAGGATTTAACTAAGTACAAATAAAAACTTTCTAGAATTTCTAAGGATTGATTAAGAATGTGGCTGTCTATTTGGTTATAAATCCCAACTAAAGAATTTTACCAACTTTAGTCAAATTTACAACTTGGTACCTGTTGGAATCTTAATACTGAAACTAATTTTTTATTTGTCTGAACCACATCCTCAAAGTCAATTGTAAAGATTTCTTTTTAGAATTCTGTTGCTATGGGGTGGCTAACGCTTTCCTCCTTCCACGCCCCAAAAGAGACATTATAGTACAGACTTTAACAGAACACTCTTCATAAGCAGAAGTTTGAGAACACTTGCTTACCAGAAATTACAGAATACAATTTCAAGCCAATGTAAGCCAGGACATTAAAACACAGAACACACTTCAATGAATGGTTTTATGAGACAACTTTTAGGGCTGTTTAGACCTGAAGAACTTACTTTCTGGTGTCGTCTCTGTTTAGACTTTTGGGGTATTTATACACCAGGTGCATGCACACAGCCACACTTTCACACTCTAAAATGAAAGAATGTTAAAAAAAAAAAAAAAGCTGGGATCTCTACCAGCTAATAAATGCAAAAGACAAAAACAGGAAAAAAGGAAAACTAAGATACTTAAGATAACAAAGGTGTTGTGAGCTCTTAAACCTTTGTAGTCTTCTGGACTTTCATAGAGTATGCAGCATTGTTGTAGCCATGTTGGTCCCAGGATATGAGAGCGACGAGGTGGGTAAGATCATGTCTTTTAATGGACCAACTTCTGTTGGTGGAAAAGACAAGCTTTTGAACTGCACAAGGCTCTTTTTCTGGTGAAGATCTCTGTGCAGCTCAAAAGCTTGTCTCTTCCACCCACAGACGTTGGTCCATTTAAAAACACTACCTCATCCACTCTGTCTCTCTCATAGAGTATGCCGTCAAGGAACCAGACGATGATGTTACTGGCACAGCGCTTCTTGCTAGCAAACCTTCTTGTAGCGAGACTGGTCAAAGGCTGGCATGGCCTGTTCGTTGATGTCTTGACTTCTTCTCCCCAAGGTGGCTGGGTCTTGAGGATTCAGGAACATCAGTCTTCCCTCAGGTGGCTTGTTGACCCAAAAGGTAAAGGCTTCTCAGCCTTACCCTTGATTCTTATGATTTGCAAACTTTGCTTACTTTGCCTTGCAGTGCCTGTCTCTAAGGCTGTCATAAACATAGGGTGCGAGACCTACCTTAGAGCCATGAAACTTGGTTCAATCAGGTTTAAATTAGGTTAGCCTGAGCTAGCATCTATATTGGGGAAAGTCCCACTTAAATCAGCAATTTAAAAAATATTCAGTGTTTCACATACCACAGATAATGTTAGACTGTGTCCTTCCCCCATGCTTCCCCCACTCCTCCAAAAAAACCCAGAACACAAGACTACTTTTGAGGAAGCTGACATGGTCTTATTTAGGTGAAAAGGTCTTATGATGATATGGAATCACCAGGTTATGAAAAGTTCAACAAAAGTCCTATAAAATTAGCTGATTGTTGCTACAATCTATTTCAATCAGTCACTTAACATTCATCCTTCACAAAATTAAAAATAAGGTTAAACAACTAAGGATCAGTGGCATCATTCTTCTTGCAAACAAGACAATTTACGGTAATCTTTCTATTTTGAAACTGGGCTGTACGTCAGACAACTTATCTTCTGGAATCTTCATCTTGAAGTTACTTTAAAACCTATCAAGATCAAACCATTTAAGAATACAATTTAAAAACTAATATAAAGTCTGAATTTCCATATACTCTATTTCTCTTGAGAAAGCATATACAAAAGTGGCAGTTAAGCTGGTATACGCAATCTTAACATTAGCATTTTCTAACGGACTCCTGAATGTAGTGAGTGGAGTTGAGTGAATAATGTATTTTTTGGTTTGCTGGCAATTCTGAAAAAAAAATGTTTTTGTCAAATGACACTTTTCAGCAAATCAAAACATTAAAAAGAGTTGACACGTTTGGGTAAAGTCACATTGAAATGTTTTGTTTCATTTTGACCCAAAAAATCCATTATGATTTGCAGGCATTTTGACAAAAGCAAAGTATTCAAAGCTGGATGAGGAGATGATAGTGGTGTCTCCCTTTATAAGTTTTAGACCTGTGGTTAAAGCACTCACACGGAAGACCTGTGTTTGTTTCCCTGCTTCTGATGTGGAGAAGAGATTTGAACTTGGGTTTCCAGCACTACAGGAGAGTGCCTAGCCACTGGACTTTTCTGGTGTGGGGCTTTCTCAGTCTCTTCTGTTGAAGCTTTTCCACTTTTCCACTAAATAGTCATTGAGCAAGGACTTCAATTTGGGTCTCCCATATCCTACGTAAGTGCCGTAACTACCATGCTATAGAGTCATTCTCAGTCTCATTCCCTAGCCCAAACACTTTTATATGACTGTGACTGACACTCGATACTGTGAATGACAATGGATAGTCATTGGGCCAGGGAAAGTGAGTGAGTATGACTCTATAGCCTGGTACTTAGGACAGTCACCTAAGATGTGGGAGACCCAAGTTGAAGTCAGTGCTCCATGACTATTTAATTATTGATACTAAGGGCTTTCCTTCAAGTGCAGCTGCACCACTGTAGCACTTTAGTGGAGATGCTACTACACTGACAAGAAAGCTACTCCTGTCAGAATAGTTAATCCCCCTCCCTGAGAGGCAGTAGTAGGGTGACCAGATGTCCCGATTTTATAGGGACAGTCCCGATTTTTGGGTCTTTTTTTTATATAGGCTCCTATTACCCCCCATACCCTGTCCCGATTTTTCACATTTGCTGTCTGGTCACCCTAGGCAGTAGGTATGTCAAGGGGAGAAGCACTCCTATCAATATAGCACTGTCTACATGGGGGGTTAGGTCAGTATAACAACATTTCTCAAAGGTGTGGATTTTTCAGACCCCTGAGCGACATAGTTATATAGGTCTGTAGTCTAGACGTGGCCAAAGTGGAACAGCTTCAACAGGTGAGATTAAGAAAGCCCCATCGCCCAATGATTATGCAATGTGGGAGACCCAAGTGCAGATCCCTTCAACACATCACGCAGGGTGTGGAATTGCAGCCAGATTTCCCACATCCTAGGTGAGTGGCCTAACTGCTAGGCTAAAGCTTATAAGGGAAGCACCTCCTTTTCTAGCTAATTTGTCCGTGCTTTGCTTTTGTCAAAATGCCAAAAAATCAAAAGCATTTTTTCCAGGTCAAAACTAAACATTTTGTTTCAACATTATCAAAACATTGAGACTCTTTCAGCTCAGTTGAAACTATTTGGTGAACTTGACACAAATTTGGAAATAGTTTGGGTCCACCCAAAACTGCATTTTTTTATGAATAAACTACTCATCTGAAAAATTTCATCCAATGCTAGTAACGATGTTGTTTGTTTTGTTGTCGTTTTTTAAAATGGAATATAAGAATAATCATATGCACATAGTACACATTACCAGGTAAACTAATATACTGAAATTATTCCAGGTCCATATGAAATTTCCAACACATTGACTCTACCAGCTAAACATTATGGGATCAAGCACCTTGAATATTCTGCGTTCCTATGAGTATGGATTATTCTTAAAAGCACAGACTTAGGGCTTGTCTACATGTGCAACAATGTGTGCTAAAGGGGTGTAATTTCTAAAGTGTACTAACATGTTATGCACTAACTGGCCCATGTAGACCCTGCTGAAACAAATTATACATTCCCTACTGCACATTAATGTAGTGCTTAGTTCTCACCAGCAGGGTTTACATGGGCCAGTTAGTGTGCAACACTTTAGAAATCACACCCTTAAACTACAGGCAGAAATCTGTTCCTTGAAGAGTTTTTTCATACTCAAGTGTTAGAAGTTGGTTGATAAAATATCCTCAATTCCATTAACTCCTTTCTAGGCATGTACACTAATTGAAAAGTCATGTGTGAATCTGACAGTAATCCTCTGAGAGTGTAAACTCTTCAAGACAAGGGACTGTCTTTCTCCGTGTTTGTAAAACACCTATCAAATGTGGTCTGCTTCCACAGTATTGGTAATAAATAATAATGGCAAATATTCAGGAAGTACATAGAACAGATCACTATATGTTTTTATAAACATAAAGCATGAATATCATATAATAGCTTGGTTTTCCCTTCTTTCCTTTCAGGTTAGAAAAGAAGTTGGGGATGTTAATATCCTAATCAATGATGCAGGCATAGCAAATGTGAAGACGTTTCTTGACCTTCCAGATGCTGATATGGAGAAAACTATAAGGGTGAACATCATGGCCCAGTTCTGGGTAATATATTTTTTCCATGGATAACTGTGAAAGTGTGCTAGCACCCAACTTCTTCAGAAGTGAGCAAAATGTGTGCAACTTAGGTTGTCTAGTATTCAGAAATTCCCTTTAGAAATGGAGCAATATTTGGTTTTGGTTCAACTTGTGACAAATGCCAGGCTGAAAAAGTACTAGCTTGCAAGCTCTGCTCCTCTATGAGGTATGAATTGACTAGGAGCAGGCACCCAAACTGTCCTCACAAAAAATGATGTGCACTGACGTTAAAAGCAAAATCTGACAGTGCTCTTTGGTGTACATCTAAAGGCTTTGTATTGCTAAGTCAAGAAACAGAATCTCTCTATAATAGCTGTGACTGCAGTTAGTGATGATAGAATTCTATTTTTTTTTTGTCTCTTTTCCTATTCTCACCTTTCATAAAACACAAGCCGTTATATATTTAAACTACACTTCCTACACCAGTATGCAGGACTGCACATCTGTAACTGGTATTTTCCTTTGCTTTCCATAGATTTCAAATAAAATTCTGGGGTATTTTTTTTCTGGTACCATCTGTCCTCAACAGCCAGTATTTGTACAGATCCTTTATTCTTAGGGTCTGAAAGCACTTTTCAATGGTTAATAGAGAATTGTCCCATTTTAGAGATTTGTGAAGTCAGAGAAAGGCACAAAGTGGTAAAGTCAGCTTTTGAAAAGTGTCGTCTAACTCTGGTGCATATTTTTAGAACTCTGGACATGACTTGCAAAACAGCTCAGCAGCCAGTAATTCCCACTGTGACATTTATGGCTGGATTGTTATCCATTGTGCTGAAAGATTTTTTTAAAATCTGGCCACTTATTTTGGTGTTTGAATGGGAGCTGATCTGTTTTGAAAATCTGACCCCTAATGCCTGATCTTCTGAGTTGCTGAGTGCTCACAATTTCCATTGACTTCAGCTGGAGTTTCTGAGTTTTCCAGAATCAGGCCATAGTGTGTCAAGCTGAGCACCCAAAAACTGAGGCACACATAATGAAACAGAATTGAACAAGTTAGCCTGAAGTGACTTGACTTTTGTTGGACAGGAAATCATTAGCCACAATTGACCCCATACAGTCTTGTAGCTGTAGTCATCCCATTTTTTTAAAAAAAAGACTGAAAACGTAAGTGGCTTAACTGTGAACAAGGATGATGAGCTTGGGCTAAGACACTGGACTGAGACTTCGGGCAGTCTGGGTTAAATTCCTGGCTCTTTTACAGATGTCCTGTGTGAAATATTTAATGACAGTTTAATGTTCAATGCTTAATGAAAGTTAGCATTACTAAGAGATGTTTGAAGCAGCGTTCTGTCTTGTAGGCAACAGGTTATTAGGGTACAGTCATTCACTTGCCCTAGGATCTGCCCCACTTCTCAGAGTTACATTCCCCCTGTCATAATTAATTCATGGTCACAAAGATGTGTGGGAATGAGTGGATATGTGAATGCAGAATAGCTATTAATTATATTTAAACAAATAGGACACATGTCTTGGTCATAAGCAGAAGTTTGCCTACCAGTTCCTTATCACATGGCACCTTCTTGCATCTTGTCTTCGAGAATATCTCTTTGTGATTATCAACAAATTGGTGCAAGACACATACATACCGAACTGGCGTCTTCTAGATGACTTCAAGATCAAGGTGCCAAGTCACTGATGCACAATGAACTACAGCCGACATGCTGGAACCCCTAATTGGACAAGAGTGTCCCTAGGGCTGAGTAGAGGAGTCACTGATCCAAAAGATGCTAACCATGCAGAAAGAAGGGAGAGGCTCTCTGACATCAACCCAACACCCAAAGTTGTATCATGCTTTGTTCCCTGGACCAGACATCCAAAGAAGAAGAGGTGAAAGACTCTGACCGCCAGCTAAGCCAAGCCTGAAATCTACAGCTAAGAAATATGAGACCAAACTTTCCTCACCACATGCAAAAGAACTCCAGGTTACATAGTTCCAAACTAAGACCACTCTTATGAGCTAAAGACTTTGAGAAGAAGGTATGAAAATCCTTCTGTAGAGCAATTCAAGGACACTCAAATCGCTCCAATGCACGCACACACGCACATGTGTGTCGCAACTGCCTCTCAAAGTAGACACTAAACCCCTAAGTGTTATCTAAACATAAGGAGATCCTGGGTCATGGCAGTTTTAGAATGACACTGGTTTAAGTATGGGTCTCTAGAAAACTTTCTATATCTGTGTATGACTGCCAGAAAAATGCAGGTATTTTGTTCAAGTGGGGAGAGGAAATAGAGTAAATGAACAGACGCTTGATGTGATTTCTGTGAACACGAAGCTAAGCAGGAGAAAGCAACCAGAGAGAGAAGGCACTAAAAAATCATTTTAAGAGCTGTACTTCCTCAAAATCAAGGCAAGAAATAGCCTCTGCCTTTAACGGACCCTTCGCTAAAGGGTTTAAATAAAAGGGAATAGCTTCTCCCATTAACCTTCCTGCTAAATCTTAACAGAATTGTTTTCCTTAACTTGTTCACTGGCAAAGCAGATAAATTGAACCATTGAATTACTGATTATGTTTTAATTATACCCTTAATTTGACTGTTGCATTATACCATAGTAAGTTAAGTTAGGAAAACTTTAACTTAAATTAGCTTGTGACATACGTTGCTTAAATTCATATTTGTTCTATAACTGCTTGCTTAGTCTTTTAATAAATTTATAAAAGGTGCACCAAACGGGTTTATTTCTCACAGCTTCAATCCAGAGTAACCTATGTAGAGGTAAAAATAATTAAATGTTATTCCTGAGCCCCTCCTATATTTTAATTACTTAAAATAATACCCTATTTTCCCTATAATGGGAAGTTTCTTAACTTCTTTATACATCAGTTCCCAATAATAAAATAGGGATAATAATACTTCATTTCCCCCTTGCTTTTGTATCTTACCTATTTAGATTGTAAGAGATAGATTTTCAAAGATTTTAGGAACAATAAGTGCCTAGTGAAATTTTCCAAAATAGCTAAGCAAGTTACATATGCTCCTAGTGGGCACTTAGCCACTTTTGAAAATTCCAGTAGTCATCTATTTGCACCTTTAGACGCCTAAATACCTCTGAAAATCTAGTCCCAAGTTCTTTGGGCAGGGACTGTCTCTCACTATGAGTTTGAACAGTACCTAGCACAATGGGCCTTGGTCTTCACTGGGACCTGTAGGTGCTATTGTAATAAAAGTGATTAATAATAAAGTAATAATACGCAGTTCATATTTTTCCATTACTTCTCTAACTTTCCGTTCTCTATATTTAATTCACTTGCAAATAAGATTTAATTAACTATCTTATTCCCAGTGCATCCCTGCCTCCTTAAAATTAGAAAACACCTTTAGAAGACATAGGCTCAGATCTTCCCTTACATTGGAGACACATTGTAATGTGAAAACCTACACAAAATACACTGCTATGGTGGCTTTGGGGCCACAAGCCAATCACCCCAGCACAGGGGATCCTCCAATGGCTTAGAATTGGTGTAACAGCTCCTACAGCAACCCATTCCTGCCCTGATGCACACCCTAACTGAGCCCTCTGGGAATGAATGAGGTCGATCAGTAACTTTACTTCCGAGTTCACTAGAACTGAAGCCATTTGCACTTCCCATCCAAGAGTTTTCTCTCATTCTAGGCCAATGATAATTATGACTTTGTCTGCATTAGAGCTGGAAGGTGTAAATTCCAGCTCGAGGAGACATACCCTTGCTAGCTCTGATGAAGCTAGCATCCTAAAAATAGAGTATAGCTGTGGTGGTGTGAGGAGCGCGATGGGCAAGCAGACTCATGCATGTACCTGTCTGAGATGCTAAACGTGCTCCAGGCAGCTCTCCCCTCCCACATCTCACACCGCCATGGCTACGCTCTATTTTTAGCACACTGGCTCAATGAGAGCTAGCATGAGTATGTCTCAAGGTTGAATTTACACTTCCAGCTCAGCGAGAAGCTGCCACTGGGGGAAAGCATGCTCTATAGTTCCAAGCTTTTAGCCCTCCAGAGATAAAATGTTGTGACAGCAGTAGCTGAAATAATGTGGACAGTGAATGCCTTTGATAGAGAAGGTAATTGTAGTGGCTCTATGTGCATATAGAAAGGAAAGAGACACCAAGCAACTTCACAGATGTGCTAATATTGTTTTCAGTAGAGAACTCTCTCATCTCACAGCATTCTTCTGCCTGTAGAAACAAAGCAAAACACTCACTTATCCACCTTCAGTGCTTGGTTTCCAGTAATGAAAGATCCAGTTCTCTACAGAGCCTTATTGCAAACAATTCCTTCGCAGAATGTTTCTGCAGGTACCAGGTGGGAAAGAAAATATCTGGAGAATTTGGCCAATTGGGGCACTGGGATTTGGCAGATTAATATTCACAAGATTTTCTTCCACAGGGAAAAATCCTGGTCACTGCACAAAGCCTGAGTAATAGGAGAAGAAGCAGAGATTACTTTAAAGATTCTATGAGACCATCAAGGGTTGCCTCCTCCTCAGACCATGCAAACTCCTTACTCTGTGCCTCTTTTCCTCCACCCCTTTGTGCTGGACTTCAATAAGCCTCAACAGATCACAGCTTCCCAGCATGTAGGACTCGTGGATGTTCTGTGCTGGGTCCTATAATACTACTTCTCCCAATATATGCAGAGGGTCCACACTGATTTTGCAGCTGTCACTGACCTTCATGGCCCTGGAGAAGCTGAAGGAGAGGATTTGCCAAAGAGTGCTTACTTTACAAAGAAGAATGAGTAATAATTAGTCATTGCAAGGTTCAAAGCACTCTGTACCTATTTAACTTTGGCATGCTTGCTCTGACAGAGCACTTTTTATTTTGGTAATAGGTAATCCAACCTGCATCTTCCTGTGTTGGAAGCTAACTTTCATGTTTCAAAGTTCTGGAGAGGAGTCATGCAAAGTGTTCTGCTTTGTCTCCACCTGCTGGAAAATGGAGAAATGAAACAGGCCAGAGCGAACTGAATCTATTAGTGATTGTGGA